TGAAACCCCCAAATTAACCTTGATGGGCACCTGAACTCCCCCCAGTTAACAGTGGGGAGCACCTGAATCCCCCAAAATCAAATCTTAGGGAGCACCCAAACCTTCCAAAATTAATTCTCAGGGGCACCTGAACCCCCCCACATTAACAGTGGGGAGCACCTGAACCCCCCAAAAATCAAATCTTAGGAAGCACCCTAATTTTGGAACCTTCCAAAATTAACCTTGATAGGTACCTGAACCCCCCAAAATTAACCTTGGGAGCACATGAACACCCCAACTTAATTGAGGGGGGGGCCACCTGAACCCCCAAAATCAAAGCTAACAGGGCACCTGAAACCCCCAAACCAAACCTTGGGGGTGGGGATTACCTGAACACACCCCCCCAAAAGGAGAGAGGGAGGAGGGGAGTTTAGCACATAATATTACAAAACCCAGTCACAAAACTTCCCTCTTTGACACAAATTTGCTTCCAAATATCCTTTCCCCAAATAATGAAGTTTTACAGACTGTAAAAACATCACAAACTTGTCAAAATGGATCTCAATTCAACTCTCTATAAAATTTTAATGACTGTGCTCCTGTTAACTAAATATTCGAAACAGAAAAATAGCCCGTACTACATTTGCTCTTTTTAAACAATAAATAAGCAAACTTTTTGTGTTTGGTTTTTTTTTTTAAACAAGAATGAAATATAAACTTTACACATCCAAAATACAATATACAACTTATTTCCAAAAGGACTTAGTGATGACAGAAACAGCAAAACGAGGTGATGAGCAGAAGTTTTCCTACAGACAACAGGTCACGCTGCTCGTCACAGGTTTTTCTTTAAGTTCCACGGTTCCCTTATGGATTTTCCTACTTGGAGCATGAGGTGGGGCTCCATTGTTTGAGTGGATGATGAGAGGAGAGTCTGGTGGGATCCAACAATGAGATTTGGTGGTGCTCCCAAATTTGTTACCTTTTAAGACTGACGAGTGTGGATCTCCCCAGGCCGCTGCGTTGAACTAATTTAGGCTGATGTGATAAGGCTGCAGGAAGATTTTTAGACCTAAGCCATATTTTTATCCAACTGAAAACATTTTGTATCCCCTTCCAAAAGAACAAGGTGGATGGACTGTCTCCTTAAGACCACAACAGAAATGAACAATATGTACAAATGAAGTCGCATTCGTTTCCTAGGCAGAAAACAAGAGAGACTTCCCATAAAAAGGATTTCTTTCGTTCTCAAACTTCACTTAGAAACTCAGCTTAACACACAGTTGTTCTGGAACAGCAGTAACAAAACACTTGGAGGTGTCCCAGGGTTTCCCTGCCCTTTGTTCATGTGGTGTTGAGTTGACTTTGTCTTTCGGTCTCGGCTTTCCTCTCCTGCCGGTGGGTCACTGCAGCCCAGAAGGTGATTTTTTTCAGCACTTCCTGCAAAAGTTTGGATGGCAGGCAGGGAATCTGGTTCCTCAAGAGAGCTGCGTTCTTCCCAATGCAGTCAAGACACAGCCTGAAGAAGGAAAACAGAAAAAAAAAACCCTTTAAGTAAATGGTCTGTAATCTGAAGACCAAGTGACAACTTATTAAAGTTGGTGTTGTGCATTAATTACAGATGTTGTGGGTGCACGTGCAGGAGAATTACACACCACCAGGGATTAAACTGCTGTGGATCATCACACATGGCATGGCTCAAATATTTACTGAGGAGCTAATTTGGTATTTTACCTGCCTGTGCAGGAGCACGTGGCTAAAATCACCCTTGGAGCAACCGGGTCTGGTGGAAGGTGTCCCTGCCCACGGCAGGGGGTGGAACTGGATCATCCTTGAAGTCCCTCCCAACCCAAACCAGTCTGGGATTCAGAGATTCTGTAACCACAACTCACCTGAGGAGGGAATAAGGTTGAGTCTGAAATATCAACAAGTCACTGCAGTGACCCTGATGAAGAGGAAAAAAAAGGAACCATTAAAATGGCGAACGGTTTATCTCAGCAATAGTGCTGCCTTCTAGATTAATGTCACATTAATTACCACGTGCATGATTTAAAACTGATAATACCTAAATAACTATTTATGAAGCATGTGAACTACAAATCCCTTTTTATTCCATCAGTCAAGAAAGCTTCAGGTGGGGATTCCTCAGTGGTGGTTTTCAGTTACAAATTTGAGCCAACATCTTAATCTGTTTGTTGTTTGTTTTTTTTTAATTTTAATTTAAATCCCATCTATAAATACATTAATTGATTTGTTCAGAGAGGTTGTGGACTCCCCTGGATCCCTGGAAGTGTCTAAGACCAGGTTGGACAGGGCTTGGAGCAACCTGGGATAGTGGAAGGTGTCCCTGCCCATGGCAGGGGGTGGAATTGGGTGAGCTTTAAGGTCCCTCCCAACCCAAACCATTCCATGATTCCATCATTTTATATCAATTATAATTATCCTAGTGATAGGATTTATTATCCAGTTTACTGACTGTGTCCATGAAAAGCAGGTCATCTTTGCTCCCACCAAACACCATCACTTCTCCTTCTTTTCCAAGGCAGGCTGTGTGCCAGAGTCTAGAAATAAAACCATAAATGCAATTAGTGCCCAAGGAACATCAGTTGTGTGTTATCAGCAAGACAAAGACATTATTTCAGAACTGTCCAGAGGCAAAAAATAGTAGCTTAAAATATATTACTCGTTAGTTTAACAATTATAAAAGGAGAGAGCAATGTGACTATCCATCTCATGAGAATTATTTGCATACAGACTAATATATTTT